TGTCATTTCTTTATGGTCAGCAACGATACCAGTATCTCACCTTTGCTTTCATTAGTGGGTCTTCTTAGAAGGGCTAAAGCAAATTCTTTGCATTAATAAAACTCTTTCTTTTTCGTTTTCTGTTTAGATGTCTTCCTGTCTTTCTATTCACTGGCCAGTTGTGATGAAATGTGTAACTTTTTCAGTGAGTAGTTGAACAAACTTATGTAGTATACTGTGTTTTGTTGGAGGGGTTGAGGGTAATGCGCTGAATTAAGTTAAACCCATTGCCGTCAAGTCTATTCTGACCCATAGTGACCCTATAGGACAGAGCAGAACCGCCCCATAGGGTTTCCAAGGAGCTGCTAGTGGATTTGAACAGCCGACCTTTTTAGTTAGCAGCCAAGCTCTTAACTACTGTACCACCAGGGCTCCTAAATTTAGACAACTTAAAAAATAGTCTGGAATTTATTAATTATTTCATTTTTGAGCCTTTATATTGTCACTAAGACTCCACTTTGCAAGATAAAGCACCTGTTTTAATTCCTTGAATTTTAACAAATTGGGATATGGTATTTTTTTTTTTCTTCCCTCTAAAATTCTTACTTTGGGTTACCAGTGTTGGTGTTATGAAGCCACAACATTTGAGGGAAGCTTGAAGAATGTTTTAGAAATAACCACAGAGCCCCTAAAGAACAAAAGAATTACCTTGGCCAAGATAATCCATCTCAAACTTTTAAATATTACTGTTTGCTTATAGAATTACAAAATCATAGAATTGTAGCTGGAATCTACAGCAGTCATGTGGCCTAACCCCATTATTTTGCAGGAAGGTAAAAATCTAAACTAGGAAGTGTTTAAAGGACTCCATGTCTCCAATTCTGATTTCTTTTCTTACTTCATTTCTACATTTCCTCCCTAGGATCCCGATAATATCTCATGTAGATCAAAAGTACTCATTCTTCCCCCACCCCCACCTCAATTGGCTTCCTCCATTTGGCTTCTTTATTTCTGTCAATAGGAGAACCTTCTTCTAGTTTTCCAGGTTTGAAATCACAATCATTTAATAAATTTTGTTCTTTAATAAATCTGATTCAGTCTTTCCTTTAAGCTGTCTGCTTGTCTTAGTTATCCCAAGCTGTTATAACAGAAATACCAAAAGTGGTTGGCTTTAACAGAGAGAAATTTATTCTCTCACAGTCTAGAAGGCTAGAAGTTGGAATTCAGGATGCCAGCTCCAGGGGAAGGCTTTCTCTCTCTGTCTTCTCTAGGAGAAGGTCATTGTCATCAATAGTCCCCTGGTCTAGGAGCTTTTCAGTTTAGTGACTCCATGTCCAAAGGACACGCGCTCCTGGCTCTTCCCACTTGGTGGTAATGAGGTCCCTGTGCTTACAGCGCACTGCAACTGGAGACGGCGCAGACTGCTACAGCAGCAGAGAAATGGCAGCAGCAGAACCAGGAGACCAGCAGAGAGCTGAGTGCCTTTGCGTAGGAGGCTTCCTTGCAGAGTAGGATGCCTCCAGGCACTTATGGGTGGAGCTAGGCTTGCCGACCCACAGAGCAAGAGACCTGAGTGCCATCTGGCTGAAGTTTACTGGTGGAGTGGGGTGCCTCCAGGCACTCATCAGTGGAGCTAAAGAGGTTTAGAACAGTTGTCCTAGCAGGGCAGACATGGTGAGGCCTGAGGGGCTGAGAGACCAAGAAACCAGGAAGCAGAAGCTGAAGAGACAAGAAACACAGAAGCGGAACTGCCTCAGTCTCAAAAGGTAGGGCCATGACCTCTGAGGTCTCGAAGGGCGAAGTCACCACTCAGATGGACTAGGAGAATGGGGACCTCATACCACCAAGAAAGTATAGCCAGGAGCAGAGATTGTCCTTTTGACCTGGGATCCTTGTGCTGAGAAGCTCCTAGACGAGTGGAAGATTTATGACAAGGACCTTCTTCCAGAGTTAAGTGTTTTGCTGCTAACCGAAACGTCAGCAGTTCGAATCTACCAGCTGCAGTTCTACTCTGACCTGAAGGGTGGCTATGAGTCAGAGTTGAGTTGTTGACAATGAGTAATTTTTTTTGTTAGAATGTGAGAGAATAAACTTCTATCTGTTAAAGCTATCCACTAGTGGTATTTCTGTTATAGTGGGACTAGATAACTAAGACACTTCTGTATCCATTCGACTCTTTTTTTTTTCCACAGCTACCAAATCTAAATCCACAAAATCTCATACCAGGGTTAATGTAATTGATAAGGACTTGGATTTATCGACACTAGCCTTCTCTTTACCCCTCATCTAGTCTATGCAGTGAGTGTAAGCAGAGTGGTTAAGAGCTCAGATTCTGGGCAGGCAAAGTCATTTCATTTTTTTTGACTCCGCTAACTGTGTGGCCTTGGGCAAGTTATGTACTCTTTCTGTGCTTCAGTTTCCACATGGGCATTTGGAATTAATAATAGTACTAATTTTATAAATTAATATGTGTAAAGGGTTTAAGAAAGTACCTGATATGTAGTAAGTCATCAATGCATGTTAACTGTTACTAGAAATTAATATACTTCTATTATTAGATGAAAGGTTACTGTCTTCAGTATGGATCACACCTAAACAAAGAAAACAAAAACCCTCACAACTGGACCAATAAGCAACATTGCGTTAAACAGAGAAATTGTTTAAGTTGTCAAGGATTTCATCTTATTTGAGTCCAGAATCAACGTTCATGAACGCAGCAGTCAAGAAATCAAATGATGTATTGCATTGGGCAAATCAGCTGCAAAAGACCTCTTTCAAGTGTTAAAAAGCAAAGATGTCACTTTGAGGACCAAGGTGTGCCTGACCCAAGCCATGGTATTTTCAGTCATGTCATATGCATGTGAAAGCTGGACAACAAATAAGGAAGACTGAAGAAGAATCAATGCCTTTGAATTATGGTATTGGTGAAGAATATTGAATATACCATGGGCTGCCAGAAGAACAAACAAGTCTGTCTTGGAAGAAGTATAGCCAAAATGCTCCTTAGAAGTGAGGATGATGAAACTTCATCTCATGTACTTTGGACTTGTTATCAGGAGGGACCAGTCCCTGGAGAAGGACATCATGCCTGGTAAAGTAGAGGGTCAGAGAAAAAGAGGAAGACCGTCAACAAGACAGATGGAAGCAGAGACTTCAACAATGGTCTCAGACATAGCAATGAGGATGGTACAGGACCGGGCAATGTTTTGTTCTCTTGTACTATGAGTCAGAACCGATGTGATGGCACCAGACAACAACATTAGTGTAGATTACATTATTTCTAAAGTATTGCTTAAATCATGTAATTCCTTCCAGTGTCTACTGAATAAAACCCAAACCTCATAGCCAAATATTATATTCTGAGGCCTCAGATCCTCTCAGACTATCTCTAAACTCAATGATAACAAAACTACTGTACTGACTATTCTCTTACATGCTGTACTCTTTCATGCTTCATAGCTTTCTTCTTAATGTTCCACTCGTCTAGTGGGTACTTGCCTTTACTTCCTTCCTATCCAGGATTTAGTTGTACTATATTATGGAATGTAAGAACCCATAAGAGAGGGTCTCTGTTTTGTTCACTGCTGTATCCCTAGTGTCTGCAGCAGTGCCTGGCACTTCAAAGCTGCTCAGATAGTTGTAGAATGGAATGAATGAGTGAATTTATGCCTATATGTCTTGAGGCTTTGGGTAAACCCTTTAACCACTCTGAACTTAAGATTTTCCAATGGTAAAATGAGAGTGATGAATTATATCTTTCTCACAGTGTCATTGGGAGAATTGACAAATTATGTGTGAAAACACAATGGAAATTATAAAGCACTGTATACATGTATGGAGCCCTGGTGGCACAATGGTTAAACACTTGGTTGCTAACCAAGGGGTTGGTAGTTTGAACCCACCAGTGGCTCTGCAGGAGAAAAGACCTGGTGATCTGCTCCTGTAAAGTTTACAACCTAGGAAACCCTATGGGGCAGTTTTACTCTGTCATGTAGGGTTGCTACGAGTCAGAATTGACTTGATGACACACAACAACAACATATACATGTAAGTAAAGTATTTTTTCCTGCTGCTCAATTTTTATTGATCTTTAAAGATCCAGGTCAAATTGTATTTTTTCCCAGTCAATGTTTCTAGACTATCCCAATCTCAAATGAATTCTCTGTCCTCTAAACTTTATAAAAGTCATTTTTTTAATATTGTGTAGTAATAGTCATCAATTACCATATTGAAATTCTTCTTAATTATTTTATTATTGTTTAACTTCTTCAGTCTTAGTTTTGTCTCCCCAGATGTCTTGTATACTCTCTTAGGACTTGGATGGTCTTTTAAAACAAGTTTTAATACCCAGACTCCTTACCTAAAATTTGGTATTTAACAAAGTTTCTTGATTTTAGTTAGTGTTAGTGATGGAATGAACTACAACTCAAGATTTCTAATGTCCATCATTTTCCTCACCAAAGTATGTTGCCTCTTTTAAATATTTCATTAGGAGGCAGTTTGTGGGCATGTTTCTACCCCAGAGGAGCACTTTGGAGTCAATGCGTTTATGACCTTACAATGGCAAAGATAAATGGTGCTGGGAGATAGATAGTAACTTAAGCCAAAGTAATCTTGACGATGGCCAAGTCAAATATGTTCTCCCTGGTGTCTTCTGCAGTTTACTTGGTTGACAACTATTGTGTGTGTGCATGTGCATGTGTGTGCGTGCATGTGCATATGTATGCCTACCCTGAATGTGCATGCTTGTTTGTGCACATCTGTGACAAAGGATTCATCAGAGATTGAAAAGAGATTATCAAGCATGGTGGTGCTATTAATTTAGCTAGATATGTGAAACACTGAAAAGTAAAACAGAAGTAGGGTTTATATAAGTGTAAACCTTCAAGATTGGTTGAAGCGGGAAAGCGAATAAAATTTGAAAATGCTATACTTAGAGCTACAAATGTAATTCTAAAAAAAAAAAAATCAGTGAACATTTTCACCTTTACAGTATGCCTCTAGCCATATGTTATGTTATTGGACCTAGTTCTACCAATTTTCTTTCACATTAGCTTCTTTTGAAGCTATTTGTATGGGCATATACATGCTCAGGAGTTCTGGGACCATTACTATTATTATTTTGATAATAACATCTGTTTTTGACTTATATGACTACAAACTGCAATTTCAGTACCTAAAATTACACCAAATAGAAAGCTACTGAAATTATAAAATATCTTCTCTTAAAAATGAAAATACCTCTGGGTGCTAATTGGACATCCCATCTTCAGTACTTAAGTGTGTATTGATTTAATCAGATTACATTCCCCAAGACAATGGAGGATATCTAGCTGAAGTCAGCTTCACTAAGGAATATTGTCGAGTGTTATGTGGCAGAGCACTGGGTGTAGATAGTTTGAGTCCAGGTTTTTCTACTTACTACTCCAGCCTGTCTCAACCTCTATTATCTCATTTGTAAAATCAGGTCCCCTGTCCCACTCACAGCACTGGGTTAGTAGGAGAATCAGGTGAAATAAAGTATGTGGTAACACTTTTAACTATGATGTACCAAACAATATACCACTTTTATTCTTGTCTCCTGTAGCAGTGGTCCTGACATATTTAAGCAAACATTTTTTATGCACTCCAATTCCCTCATGGTGTGAGAACACTGAAGCCAGCAGGGAGGAATGAGAGAGGTTCGGAAGGAAGATGCCAACACGTGAAAAGGACACTCTTCCTTTCTTGGCATACAATGAGTTATTCACGAAAGAAGCAATCTCTTTAACCTGGAAAGAGGGCAGGGATGAGGATTATAGGAAGAGGTATGTTACTGAAAAGGAGCCTTGGTGGCACAGTGGTTAAGCACTTGACTGCGAACCAAAAGGTTTGTGGTAGAACCCACCCTGTTTCTCCGTGGGAGAAAGATACAGCAGTCTGCTTCTGTAAAGATTACAACCGTGGAAATCCTATGGGGGCAGTTCGTGGCAACGGGTTTTATGTTGTTGAGAGGGGATGGATTGAATTTACCCTTAGGAATTTAATGAGAGACAAGAAAGAATATCAGAGCTTCCATATACAAACAAGCAAGGAAGGCATGAGGTGTAGTACAAGGACAGTTGCTGACAACATCGCAAGATTCTGGAACCTTGATAACATCTATGTACGTGTGTTCATTACCCAGTTCTTCCTATTAACTGTAGTACTAGGTTTCCTAAAATGGGAAGGAGGCTTGGCTCTTCTTTGAGGGAGGTTTCTTTGTCTTGGGAGAGTAGAAATCTCAAGAATAAGGTAGGAAGCTATGAAAAGAAGAGCCGCTGAATACTTGGGAGCCTGTGATTTAAGAAAAAAAAAACAAGGGCCAACAACAGGGGTACTGCTTGGTACTGACAAGTGACCCCTGAGGCTTAAAAAGAAACTATCTAGTTCCTTAATAGTATCACCAAGAGATACTTTGATATTCAAAAAATTTGATATGATTAACCATGTACCAGACTATTCATTAATCTTTTACTGTGCTGGTTCTTCTATTTCCAGGACCTCAAACTCAATTTATATTATTAATTAGCTACATTGTAAATGAATTGGGCTTTTGGTGGGCTGCTGTTAGAACTAAACTACTGTTTATAACATTTTTATTCAGGTACTTGTTCCAAATTCCGTATAGATTCCTTCCATTCATAGATAAGATTGTTAATAAGTAAAAATATTTAGTTTCTTTAAGCTTAGGCTTTTAAATGGTAACATTAAAAAAAAATCCTATAAGTAGTTAATCTTATGTTTACCAATAAAGTGTACTTTCCCAGTTGAATGTATAGTAGAAGCTTCATTTGTAGAATTTTGGCAGGATTATTAAACTTTATATTTACTTATTTAACTTTTTAAGTTCTCTCTTTAGCTTTCTTTTGATGTTATGAATCAATTTTGAAGGATCAAGTGACATTTTCTTAGCAATAAAGAAGAAAGCCTCTTTGTGCTGACTTTAATCAGAGGAGCCAAATAGGATAGAAACTTGTTCAGGTACAATATCTTTATTAATCTCAACCCAAAATATGTTACAGGTGAAACATACATATTTACACAATACTTAACCACTAACAGGCTGGAAAGACTGCAAAATAATATGATTTGAGATGATTCTAATAGCTCAACAATCTGAAATATGCAGTTATATATATATAAAACTTTTTATACATATGTGTAAAAAGTTTTATGTATATTATGTATATGCATGTGTGTATATGTGTGTGTATATATATGAATAAAAAGTTGAAGAATCTCATATTTCTTAATTGATAACAGAGTTAAAAGTTGATTTTCTAGACTACTAGCTTAGTGTAGCCACTGTGTACTAGTTTGAAATGAATACTGATTTGAAATGACCTTAACATGATGATATAATATAGTGTTCTAAGTAACCACCTGTAAATGAAAATTTTACAAATCTCTTGGGTGATTTATTTAAAAGTAGAATTACATAACTTTGTTAAGACTGAAGAATCTGGGGCTACACTTGAGAACAGAGGGTTCAAGGGGAACCTTCTAACTCTCTTCACATATTTAGATGACCACAGATAAGAAGTAATAAATTCATTTACTATTGTCCAAGAAGTTTTGCCAATGAAAAGAATTTTCAAGGAAGTATATTTCAACTCAATATAATGACTAGTTCTTCAGTGGACCATAATCTGCTTTGCAAAAGCACGAGCTCACAGTCACTGAGAGTTTTTAATGGTTGCGCAAACATTTGCAAGTAATTCCTCTTTTAGGTCAGAGTTTGATTAGGTGACCTCTACAGGCCAACTATCAGCCTATGAGTTATGCATTTCAATCTAGAAATACAGAGTTTTCTTATGTAGCCTATTGTAGTACAGTGTTGCTTGCCTCCCTGGCATTTATTCTCTTTCCTAGGGGAACCCCACTTTTTTCCTGGCACTCTCCCTTCAACATGAAGTCCGTGTATCTTAGTCCATAGACTCACCCGCCTCCCAGGGTGAGTCTCACAGGTCCTTCATCTGTGATCCAGTCCCCCTTGCCAGTGATTGCTTTGGGAATTGTCATGTGATTTGGTTTGTGCTAAAGATGCTCAAGGAGAGGTTTTCTGAGATCTTCTGGGAAAGTGAGCACTTTCTTTGTCTTGTGGGAGAGCTTTCCTCTGAATTTTACTCTGAGATTAGATTTAATAGGTTAGATTAATTTTGAATTTTTCTGTTTGGCGGGGATTATATATTTTTATTTAAAATTATTTATTATCCATGACTAGTCAGAATTTTTCCTAAAAGAAATAATTGATATATAGCTATTAGATTTATTTGCTTGTCATAAGCTCTCATTATTTCACTCATCCATTTTTTCAGAAGTTTTACATTGTCAGCCAATATTCTGGGGGAATCAGAAAGAGTTCTGCCTTTTAGACACTTAAAGCATAAGTTGTTAAGTCAGTGCATGCTGCTCTTACACAGGAACACAGGAGGCCATTTTACTATGGACCTTGTCTTGGTCTGAGCTTCATAATTTTTATTTTAACAACAGGGAAGAAATATTTGGTAATAATCTTGAAATGTTGAGATTTCTCTTTAACAAGATGAAGTTTTAATTATATCAAGAAAATGGAGGTATATTTAAAGCATATAAATTAAAAAACAAAACTTAACACCTTAGGGCAGTTTAAGAAGTTTGCCAGAACTTGGAGTGAAGTAGTGATCCTCTAAATAATACCCCATTGGCATGAGATAGTAATGTGTTCAGTTCTCCAGCTTATTCTTAGAAATAATGAACTTTTATAATTATCAAGTTTTCCTTTTGATCAAGGGCTCAAAAGAGATGGAGGCCTTGGCCAGAAGTATGATCCTTCTCTGCCTACCCCTTCCTCAAGTTATAAAGAGGTGCATATGTGTCCTTGGTGTAGCAGGGGCAGCCCAGAGACTCCTAGAGATCCCTGGACCCTAGTTGGGGTAGAATGGGGATTTTTCCTGTTCACCTAGGCAATGGGAGTGCTCACAGCTTGGACACTGGAAAGATTTGTTGTGATCTAGTCAACACATATCAAAGTAATATACAGATCTTTCAAAAGTAATTAAATCATGAGCATTTTTTTCTGAAGTAGCTACATGACAGTTAAAATCAGAGTTCACTGAACTAGCTGTAGAACTTGTCCCCTGACTCCCAGTATATTTAGGGCATATTTTGTTGTATTTAAGGAAGTTGGTGGTTAGGTAAGGAAAAGACTCCACGAGGATTTGTAAGAACACTAAGTAAGTATTGGGGGCAAGGAGATAATTGGTTAGAAAAAGAAGTAATTTGCAGATTCAGTGTTCTGATGATTAAAAAGAAGTACTGTGATAAATGTCAAAATAAAACAAGCAGCAGAAGAATTATATGAATAAGAAAGTGATAGAAAATGATAAAATAATGTTGACATTTCCTTGGGGAGACCTAATGTCAAAGGCATAAACACTCAAACTATTTAGATGTCTCTTTTCCAAATGGAAACTTCTATTTAAGGAAGTTAAAGTATTTAACTGCAATGATTGAACATAATGGATGAAATATTTTGCACTTGACAGAGACTTCAATCTGAGGTGAATCTTGTACTCATATATAATGTGTTAAAATATGGAATGCAACTTCTGGTTGGCCAAGTTAATTTTAAACTTTAGTATCTTTTGTGTACCTAGTTGGCATGGCTAAGAAAATCTAGGCTGAGAACTTTTATGTTTCATGCTACATTGATATTTGAAAGGAATATTCAAATAAAAGAATATTAAAAAATGTTAAAGTGCCTTTTTAAAAAATTTTTACTGTTCTTTGGAAGTCAGAAACTGAAAATCAATACTAGATTTATTCAAATGAATGCTCATGAAGTCTGTCTCCTGGTAATTCAGTTCATTATATTGCTTAGATTTTTCAAAACTAAATATTTTTCTCTTAAATGGGAAAAAAATGTTTCTTTTATTCAACTATAATATCTGGTGGCCTAAGGTCACCAAAAGTAAACAAGATAATTTGGGACTTAGGATTTAAAAAAAAACTTAGTTATAACCTTATTTGAAAATTTAATTTTTGTACATGAAAATAATTATGGCTGGAGTACTCTGAGCATTATTTTGAGAGTAGTAAAATTTATATGAAACAAATAACATATAGATTTTTAAAAATTTAATTGTGTTCCATAAAAGTACAGGAATGCAGCTCTGGGTTGAATTTTTGACACATGATCTTTTATTATGACATCTAGTTGATTAATACTTAAGCCAAATCATTGTTTTAAAGTATCTTCTTTCACCGTCCATTAGATCTGGAGCTATAAACATGCATAAAAGCTGGCATCTGCTTTATACTCCTCATCATTTACTTTGGGGCACTGCCAGTGTCTTGGTTATAAAGTTTAAAGTATAGTCTAATTGCTTTAAGAGTTTTTCTAAGGCCGAGCAATTTTTATACATGGCTTTCTTGTTATATCTGAGTGATACACAGATTGTCAGTGTCGAAACAAACTATTTTTTAAGAATAAAATGTGGTAGGACAGGGCTTTTGAACAAGAGGCACTTTTGGAGGTTTGGTTCCTTGGTTTTAAAATTGTTTAAAAATATTTCTCTACTAAGAAGGGTAATACCTGTTAAGTGTCAAAAATTAAAATACATGATCCGAGGTGAATTCATAGCAGTAAATGCACACATCAAAAAAGAAGGGACAAGAAAAAAATTAACTACAGAACTCGAACAAATAGATAACAGCAAAAGAAGCCTACAGTCACCAGAAGAAAAGAAGTAACAAAGACCAGAGTAGAAATAAATGAAATAGAGAATAGAAAAACAATAGAAACAATCAACAAACCCAAAATTTGGTTCTTTGAAAGGATCAACAAAATCAACAAACCACTAGCCAAACTGACAAAAGAAAAACAGGAGAGGATGCAAATAACCCAAATAAGAAATGAAATGGGGGACATTACAACAGACCCAACTGAAATAAAAAGGAT